TGTACATGTGGCCATTTTATATAACACATATTCTTGGCCAACATCCTATATGTATGTCATCTATATCCTCATTGGTTAAAGGGTTGAAACTCCCCTCAACATATGCCTATATAATATCTTTGTATCTATGAATAAAGTTGAAGTATTGAGAATACAATTTGATGTGTGTTTTCTTGCTTCCCGGCCGTTATACACTTTAAGGGACTGAGAATTTTCCAGGTGGCAAAGAGAAACTATAGGGACCGGTTGTTAATTACTGACAGAAATATTTTAGTATAGAAAAAAAAACTCTTGCAATCATTGTGTTTTATTTCCACAGCAAAACACTGTTCTCTCAAGAGTAAATCTGCTTTTTATCCCAAATTCTTTGGTAACATCAGCCAGGCCTGTGCTAGGTGACCTAAAAAGCAACTTGGATAACATGCTTTATACCAAGTATTGTTCATATTTATTTTTATATAATGCCTACAAATATTTTCACAATATCAGTTTCTTATACTCTTTCAAGAAAAGTAATTTTGCATTCACAAGAGACATGTGCCTATCAGAAAACTCGCCTGTGGTTCTGACCAGCACCAATTTTTTTAGATGACTGCTGAAAGGTCCTGTAAATCTGTTGTTCGAAATTGTGCTCCAACTCCTGCCAGTGCTGTTCCTCAAGAACCTGCTGCTTGTATCATTTAATGGAGAAAAATAACAATAATAAACATTTGTAGTGTTATTGTGGCAAAATTTGTGACATCTGGACCGTGTTCTAGTCACTTCTCACCTTTTTGTTGAGGGTGGTCTTCACTCTGAGTGGAAGCACCTGCTCATTTTTCTTCATACTGTTTTTTTCTGTCTTTCTTTTCTGTCTTTCCTGTTGTTTCTGCTCGAGGGTCTTCTGTAGGGCCAGCACTCTCTCATCTCTACTGACAGCCTCCCGCAGTTCACTTCTCATTCTTTTCTCTTCTTGACTGTGAAACAAAACAAATCAGTCAGCCCTTCCTTTCCACATATTTAACTCGACCACAAGTGAAAATACTTTTGCATTTTTCTAATTTAACTCAATTTTTTTCATTGTTTAGCGACATAATAATAGGTGACAAGTTAGATTGAAGAATTAACATGAAGTTCAGAATTTCGTTGTATTTGCATTGTCCCCATGACAGGACGACTCAAGCTGGCACAAACTCTGTATGTTCATGCAAAATCAGATCTTTAAAAGGGGCAAAGGACCCAATACAGAGCTTTGTAGCATACCATACTTTACCACTGTAAGATCACATGTCTATCTCTTTACCCAAAGTAATAGTGATTTAAGAGGGAGGATTTGAGCCAGGCCAGTGCCTGTCCGTATATGCAATCACTTGTCTTGAGTCTTTTCCCCCAGGTTTAAATAGAAAAAACTAAAATTTTCAATGTCCACATTTTTCTTTTGAACCAACTTAATGTTGATGCAGGAACAGGTGTGATGGGACTGATATGTTACCTGCGCAAAGCAGCCTGTTCTGCCTGACTTCTTTGTAGAGCGATATTATCCAGCTGTTCTAGCAGTAGCTGCTCTTTGAGCTGTTTCTCCTGAAAGATGCGCTGTCTCTTGTCCTCCAGCTCACACTGCTCTGACTCACTCAGGACTGCCAAACGCTCCCGCAGCTCCGCCAAAGACATCTCACACAGCAAATCATGACCCGCAGTCTAAATTTTTAAAGATCATGAAACATAAATTGTGTCCATTGTGTCGAAACCACTGACTTGTAGTGCATATAATTAATTTTTTTATAAATATAAGAAGATAATTAACTAACCTCAGTGTCATCCACAAACTTTTGTCTGACGAGAGGTACTGACTCAAAAGCACGAATCTGACAGATAAGCTCCATCTTCCTGCTTAGCTCGGCCTGGGCTTCCTCCAGAGCCTGGCTGAGGAGTTCCCTGCTCTGCTCTGAGACCTCCTTAACTGCTCCAAAGAAATACAGTGTTTTTACTGTCATTTAATATTTTGTTAAAATGTTATGCTATATGAATCACACTTTTTGTACCTATCCGTTGTTTAATTTCTTGCAGCTTAGCTTTGGCCGTTTTGGAGTTCTTGTGACCATCGGCCACTTGTTGCACCAGCTCTCTCATTTCCTTCTCCTCCTTCAGACGTTTTTCTGCATACTTGCGCATAAGCTCTGTAGTCTGAACCAATCACACATTACATCATCATCAAACTTAATACAGACTGAGTCATGTATTGCTGTAAACACTGATGTTTGTTATGACATCACCTCCTCTTTAGTCTGCTGAGCTTTATGGTGGTTACGCTCCAAGACACGTTCTCGTGCAAGAACTGCCTCCTCATGGCTGATCCGTCCCTCCAGTCTTCGGCGCTCCAGCTCAGCTAGTTCCTCCTGCAGATCCTTATCCTTCATCTCCTTCTGCCACTGCAGGAACGCAGATGGCTCACTTGCACCCTGTGACAATCGCTCTAATCTGAACACCCAAATACATATACATTAGAACAAAGGATTTTGTTATTCACACACGTGAATAATCATGGCATGAAT